GAACAAAAGGGGTTGTGTTTCTACATTTATATAGTGAGTTCAAGAACAAGTAAATCCCTTCCCATTGTTAGTATAGATTATTGGTTTAGTTGGTTCAGGTTATATTTGGTTAGTCTTTGGTTTAGAGTTTGTATATAACAATTTTTTTTTTTTTGAATTGAATGTAAAATTATATTCAAACCAAAACCTTTTGTACAATAAATGTGACTTTGTATATAACAATCCTTATATTGTTCATTTACGATAAATGAACATTAAAACAATATGGAAACTTTCCAATGGGCTGACCCGAATGATTTTACAATTCTTATTCCTTTCAATATCCACAAGATCTCATTTTGAATAGTAAGGTTTACTAAAACAATTTTAAAAAATGGTTTTTTGACCAAAATGATGCTAATTTTTCATAATTACTCAAATAATCTTCAAAGATTTATTATATCCATTTTAATCTTTAATGACAAAAAAATGTATTTACGAAACTGTCATTAATGAGGCAACAAAATTTTCTCGCCAAAAGCGAATAAGTCTACCATTCATGTGATGGTAGATTTATTTGTAATTAGTAGATTTATTAAGTGGTTGGTAGACTTATTGATGGTTCGCAATCGTAGACTTATTTATAGTAATGGTAGATTTATAATATGTGGTAGACTTATTTGTAGTAGTGGTAAATTTAATTTTGTGATCGGTAGACTTATTTCTAGTAGTTATAGAGTTAATTTTGTGATTGGTAGACTTATTGATGGTTCGCGCAATCGTAGATTTATTTATAGTAGTGGTAGATTTATTTTTCAGAGATAGACTTATTAGTAGTAGTAGTAGAGTTAATTTTGTGATCAGTAGACTTATTGATGGTTCGCGCAATGGTAGACTTATTTATAGTGGTGGTAGATTTATAAAATATGGTAGACTTATTTGTAGTAGTGGTAGAGTTAATTTTATGATCGGTAGACTTATTTCTAGTGGTGGTAGAGTTAATTTTGTGATCGGTAGACTTATTGATGATTCGCGCAATCGTAGACTTATTTACAGTAGTGGTAGATTTATTTTTGAGTGATAAAACTTATTAGTAGTTGTGGTAGAGTTATTTTGTGATCGGTAGACTTATTGATGGTTCGCGCAATTATAGACTTATTTACAGTAGTGGTAGATTTATTTTTGAGTGATAGACTTATTAGTAGTTGTGGTAGAGTTATTTTGTGATCGGTAGACTTATTGATGGTTCGCGCAATCGTAGACTTATTTATACTTGTGGTAGAGTTATAATATGTGATAGATTTATTTATTATAGTGGTAGATTTATTCAATATTTTCACGTCTTTACTAAACAACCTTTAGTTGGTAGACTTATTTATAGTAGTGGTAGATTTATTTATAGTAATAGTAGATTTATAATATGTGGTAGATATATTTATTCTCGTGGTAGGGGTAGATTTATAATATATAGGCTTATTTGTAGTAGTGGTAGATTTATAAATATGTAGTAGACTTATTTATAGTAGTGGTAGATTTATAAATATGTAGTAGACTTATTTATAGTAGTGGTAGAGTTATTGTCGAACCATAACAATGGCGGCCAATTATTTTTTATAGTAGTGGTAAAATCGTAATTTACCGGTCATCTTCTTCACAACCAAGATTTTGTCAAACCCTAACAATGGCGGCCAACTATTTTTTAACTCGTTTTTACTGTATTTTAACTTGTTTTCAACTGGATTTAGTCTAAAACTAGTAGATCTAACATCATATATCTCTTTTCTAACCAAAAATCAAAAGATTTCAAGTATTTTTTTTTTCTTGTGATTTTCAATCCGATTTTATATAAATCCGGCGGTACACCTCCACCAAACTTGTCTCCGGTGCTTCCGCAGCCTCCACGGCCGCGGTTTCAAATAAATTTCTGATTTTTTTTATAAATAATTAGAATGATATTTTCGTAATAAAAACTTGTTACTAAGGTCTATATGTCTTTTATGACTTTTATTAAGTTTCAAATTTGTTAAAGAGTTGTTTTAGTAATTATGTCATTTTTTAAGGTTGTTCTAGTAATTTTTCTTTTAAATACCCGTTTATCCACGGTTATAGAAAAGTCTTAACATGTTTCACGACAAAATCATGCGCAACCTACTTCTTTTTTATTAATTTTTATTAAGTGCTTATATATTTAAGAAAAAATATACCTGATTTCTGTATTATTTGATATCTTATATCATCTAATTACATTGTGTATAGATTACCCAAAAAAACATATGGAAAATACTATGTAACATGTAATGCAATTAGGCCAGGATTTAAAGTTGTCGAACGTGATGAACTTAGAGCCGAGAAGTAAGGCAATCAACAACACTTCTCTCTTCGTGCCGTTGAACTTTCTTGGAACTAACATTATCCTCATCATCGACAACCAAACTTTTAGCGATGTCTCTCACTTTAGGCTTAAGGATCTTTCCATTGCCATTCTTTGGCAGTTCTTCCACAAAGACAACCTTTCTTGGACACATAAAACGAGGCAGATTCTCACGGCAATACTCAATGAACTCTCTTTCTTTGGACACCAATTTTGCTTTAGGATTACCTTCATTAGTCTTACTCTTTTCTAAAACAACGAACGCGCACGGAGTTTCACCCCACACAGGGTGAGGCATGGCCACAACTGCGGCCTCAAGCACTCCCTGGTACTTGTAAAGAACATTCTCGACTTCAACACTGCTAATGTTCTCCCCACCCGAGATGATGATGTCTTTGGAACGATCTTTGATCTCTATGTGCCCATCCGGATGAATCACACCTATGTCTCCCGTGTAGAGCCATCCGTGTTTAAACGCTTCAAATGTAGCTTTGGGATTCTTTAGATACCCTTTCATTATGCTGCTTCCTTTGATGACAATCTCTCCCATCGTCTTTCCGTCGCGTGGAACACTTTCCTGAGTCTCTGTGTTCTTCACGTCAAAGTCAGCTAGAGTTAAGATTCCTACTCCTTGCCTTCTCTTGAGCTTCAACTGTTGATTCTCTGGTAGTCTGTTTCAATTGAGTGATAGAATTATGATATTAATCTGAATAATATTGAAGATGAGTTGCAAGTTAAAAAAAAAAGAAGATTCATCAGTTTTCAATTTTTATATTATGTAAAAAGTGAACTTTTGCTTTCTTGGTAAATGTTAACGAGAAGTGAAATTTGATATTGTAAATATAGAGTTATTAAACTCGTACCAACGATTATTACCTGTTCCACTCGTCTTGCCACTCACAAAAGAGAGCTGGACCAGTAGCCTCCGTAAGCCCATAGGCATGCATCACTTGAAATCCAAGCAGCTGAATTTTCTTAACAAAAGAGCAGCGGGCGGCGACGAACCTCCGGTCAGCACCTGAACGGGCCCGGACCTACTTGACATGTCAAGTGGTTTTCATTGGAGGAGAATGTTGAAGACAGTAGGAACGCAACACATATGCGTCACTCCATGCAATTCTATGTTCTTATAGATCTCTGGGGCAGTAACGTGCCTAATACACACGTTAGTTCCCCCACGTGCTGCCACTGACCACGTGAGAGTCCAACCATTGCAATGAAACATAGGCAGAGTCCAAAGGTAGACCGGGCAGGTCCTCATTTCCCAGCCAATAATCGCACTTAAAGAGCTCAAATATGCTCCACGGTGGCTTACTACTACACCTTTCGGATCGGCCGTCGTACCGGAAGTGTAGTTCAATGAGAGAGGATCCTGCTCGTTTTAAATAGAGAACATACTTGATACCAAACTGGACGTAGGTTCTCCTCTGCCGATGAGACACTCGTAGTCTAACTCATTGGACGAAGGCCTTTTAGGGAAATCGGTTTCGTCAATGAATACGAACAGCAGATTCAATTGTGCGTCCTCATATGATAGTAGGTGGAGGATTTCTCTGGCCAATGGCTCAAAATTGCCGTCAATGAATAACATTTTGGGCTGGGCGTGGCGGAGGATTGCGGCAATGGATTTTGCATCGAGACGGATGTTGATAGGGTTAAGAACAGCTCCAGCCATGGGAACAGCGAAATGCATCTCATACATGGCCGGTGTGTTTGGGGCCAGAACGGATATCTAAACCACATATTTATGACGTGTATAAAAATGAATATATTGTTACAAAAGTCCAATTTGTAACTATTATGTTAAGAGATAATGAGATATATTGTGTTACTAAAGTTATGCTGGGAGAGCATTAATACTAAAGTTTACATGTGAGATATATCTCATCAATAAAATATTAATATTTTTATAATATTTTAAGTTGAAAAATTCACTATTTAATATCACTTCCATTTTTTAGATATCCAATGACTATCTCATCTATACAATATTAATTTTTTAATATTATTAACTTAAAATTTTTATGTTAAATTTTCATTAATAATTTTAAACATATCATATTATATTTTAAAATCTTAGTTTTTACTAAATATTGTAAGATTGTATTAACTAAAACAATATTAATTTTGTATTTTGTATTAGTTTTATGTAAAATCAATACAAAATTATATTAAATATTTTCAGATTTCATTTTTAATAATATATTATTTTATATATAATCTAAAACAATATTAATTTAATATTTTGTATTAACTTTAAATAATTAATAATAAGTTAATATACAATTTATATTTATGCATAATAGAATTTGATATATAGATAATTTTGTTTTATGATTTATAAAAAAACAAAAATAACAACATATAAACATTTTAATTAATATTCTAAACTATAAAGAATTGCCTTACAATTTGATTTATGAAAAAGAAATGAGAACCAATTATAAATTGACAAGTGAGTTTTTTAGGAGAAAATGAATCTCTAATATCTCAAATGAGATACTATTTCAACAAAAAAACAGAACTTATAAAAACTTAATCTCTAGAAACAAAACTAATCTATAAAAACTTGTTAGACCAAAAAACAAAAGAACAAAAATCAAAACTTATCAAGAAAATCCTATCCAAATCAACCGACACGCTCTAGTCAAACCAAACAATCTTAAACAGCTTTAAATCTGTCAACGTATCAAGTTCTGCTGGTATAATTTGAGGCAATTGTTCTTTGGTCAGTTGTAAGGCAAATAAAGATCAGAGAGGTAGTTGCGGC